TTTTTCTTCTGCAACATTGTAAACTTCTCTGCAAAATTCAGACTGCAGGGGGGTAAACTGACCTGGTACCAGCCAACTGCGCTCTTGTACCCGTCAAAACCTGCGTTTCCGGCCGCTCGCTGTATCGCGATGTCGTCGATGATGCTTTGTGTGTGGAAGTAGACGCCAAGAGCAGAGAAGCCTACTGCGATGACAAGAAGCTCAACCCAACTCCAGAACTCCGACAGGTACTCAAGAGGCCGAGAGAAAAGCGCCTTACCTATGACACAATAATGTTTAACGTCATCTATATTAACTCATGTGTATGTTGAATGTCTGGGTATGTTTATGTGTCTCCAAAAAAAAGCTACCGTTTGCTATCACTCTATCCATTAATCTGATAGCCTTTTTGCGAATATTCATTATTACCATTGAGCCTCAGAGAACAGTTATCTGATAATGGACCTATACCATTATTACGTCACAGTTTGTTTACCGCAATGAAAGCCGGTCAATCGACGTTTATATTGTACATGGGGTGCGTAGCGCGGTGTTGTTTGTGTAGTGTTAGCCTGATATAAGGCTTTTAATACAGTACTACTTTCGTCTAATGTCACAACTAAATCACCCATGCGGCATGTAATGCTGTGTCAACATAACTAGACTTAGCAAAAAATCAGACATACCTTACTTTGAAAACTTTGAAATTATCTTGATTCCTGACCGTTCTAGAATGTTCTTTAGAACAGGTAAACAAACTGTGACGTAATAATGGTATAGGTCCATTGTCTAGAAATTCATCAGTTTAATCAAATCAGAGGTTGTGACAACTGTAACTTTGACCTCAAATGTCATTCTAAACTCACCCTCCCGAATCATGAAGAAGATAATAAAAATTCCAAGGCATCCTCTGAGAACAAGAAGTAAGATGGCGTCGCGTTGGATAAGTCTCAAGGTCACGACCTCTGACCCCTTGTAAACCGTCCCGAGACTGGTGAACTCCGTTGCTATGGAAACCACAGAGAACAGGTTGACGTGCGGGTTGTACAGGGTGAGTTCGATGAAAACAGCCCGGGTCTTTTCGTCTAACCACCCATGTTGCTGAAGGTAAGCCGCGCGAGTTAAACTTGTCTGCTGTGTACTACCCAGGGACGTTACGTAACCACCGGACAAGTAGGTGCCCTGCTTTCCAAAGTAAGGAAAACCTGTGTAGAAAACAAAAATATATTTCATGATTGTTAACCTACCAGTGACTTTATATGCAAATGTTCTTTTTCTAAACGAAGCATCTATGATCTGCGAATAGTACATTATATCAGTCTTTGTGTGTCATTGTTAAGCTACAACGAGGTAATCTATTATTATTTATTTATCTATCTACCTATCCATCTTACTATCTATCTATCTATCTATCTATCTATTTATCCATTTATTTATTTATTTATTTATTTATTTATTTATTTATTTATTTATTTATTTATTTATTTATTTATTTATTTATTTTTTTATTTATTTATTTATTTATTACAACTTTGCCACACGGACAGGACAGGGGGAACAGGCAGATGCCTTTTCAAGGCCCCCTGTCCCGAAACATTAGAAGTGTTTTAAACTTTAGCAAACATTACAAGTGTTTTATTTCAGTATAGTGAAGGATATTTAAGAAAATATACAAAAGATGCAGCATATAGAAAGAGCCAAACATTACCATCAGTGACAGAAGCGAATGTGTAACTCCATGGGTTGCTTCCTTCCAAACAGTTATAGTTCCAGGGTGATTCGGTTGCAGTGTTAACGTTGACGATTGATGTTGAAGCACAAAAACGATTGTCTGTGATGTTAGAAGTTTTGTTCCAGTTTTCCGTGTAGTTCCGTGTATCCGAAACATCAATGGAGTACGCCACAGTGCAGCGAGGCATTAGGCTTGCTATTTGTTTGGGAGGTTCACAATGTTTCCCTGGGAAAAAGTTTAAGAAGTGCCATATTTAGGTCAATATTATGTTCATACTTTCATGCATTATCCTTAAAATTTATACATGTAGTAACTCAAAGACACTCGTGTATTACTGTAAGCGTACCTAGAACTGTTTTATGACCATAACCTGTACAAAAAAGCTTGTACCTACAATAAAGGTGTCACTATTTTATCAAATAATTCCTTACTAATTCCATGTACTACAGAGGAAGTGTTGGCATCAGTGTTGCTACAGAGTTGCTACAGTGTTGCTACGGAGGAAGTAGAGCTATGATATCAAAGCAAACCTCTGAGCAAATTTAATGTGTACATTCACAGACTCTCACTGAACACAATCTAAGTCTGCTTTGATGGCTAGGCTAGTTCACTAGAGGATTATGTTAATTATACCCAAACAAGTCATGAAGGCTTTTTTTTATCTTACTTCGTTTGTTATGCTCATACCATAGAACCCCATTGCTCATACTGCTATCTTTTGATGCTCATTTTACTTTTTATATGCAAAAAAAGGAAATTATCAAATCAAATCAAATTTTATTCAGTAAGGCTCTCGCGGGCGAATACCCGAATTTCGTCCTTATTACAGTATATAGAGCATTAAAAAACAATGACATGAAACAACATAGGCGAACACAATATTAAGACATATTCGAAGACAATTACACGATTAAAATCTATGCATTATATGCGGTTATCACGAAGAATTTAGCTAGGTACAATTTATATAACACTACTGTTGTTATATATGTTAGTTGTAATTATAAGAAATACAATAGTCATACTGTACAAAGAATTTTAAAAATCGTGTTCATAGACCCACCGGGAGTCAGCCGCACTTGTCGAAGTTGTACTGTACCCAGTGGATGAGTTAACATGTCCTCCAGAATCGCAGCCTCCTTAGAGTACCTACCGTTGTACCACTGAGCTGCATGTGTGGCAGGAATTAACCCAGTTGTCACCCAAGTCCAGAACGATGGGATGTCTTTTATCTGAAAATAATTGAAAGATATCAGCCCCATGATGTCCGCTGCACTCACCATGAAAAGCCGTAAGGGAGCCTATAGTTTTGTTGACGCCAATATCTAATAATAATTAGAACATAGCCACTACCCCTTAGCCAATGAGAGCCTCTCATTTTCTGTGTCTATATTCCTATTGTGAAGAAAAGTGTGTTACTATCCAAAAAGTGTGGTACTAAAACTCATTTGCATAAAATTAGTACCACACTTTTTGGTTAGTACCATACTTTTGGGGCTTTAATTGGAACAAACCCCCCCCCCCTCTGTGCAGGCTAATCACCCAAGGGATAATGGGACATCAAAGACAAATACTACATTGAAACTGATATTGAACAAGAAAAAAACCCCTGAAATTTGAACAAGAAAAACTGATATTGAACATGTTTGAAAGATAACTTCGGGGAAATGACCTTGTTCTAAGTCAGACAGACCATGGGCCTGGGCTCGTTTACTGAGAAATAGTGTTGCCCACCCACTCGGGGACGGCCTGTCACTCTCGGCTATCGCGTCGGGAGTCAGGTAGTCCTCTTGTGGGTGGGGCAACACTATATCCCAGTAACCTCGCCTGGCCCATGGTCTATATATCTACTACAAATGTCATGAATATCCATCCGCAGAGTAACGAGACTCTTTTTACACAACTGATTCTTTTATTCAGCCGGCGTTTCGGTGATCGTCTGTCACCTTCCTCATAGCAGAGGGTGTCGCTCTATAGCAGCGTCACCTGTTCTGCAATGCAATATGAACGAGTCAGAATTGCCCTGAGGAAGGTGGCAGACTGTCACCGAAACGTCGGCTGAATAAAAGACTTGGTTGTGTAAAAATAGTCTCTTTACTCAGTGACTTACCAACCTGATGAAACTATTCACGGATGTTCGCGATTTTACTAAAAACGTAACCAATATTGAATATTGACAGTGAACGGAATTGACCTGTAACATAAAAAATGCGAGCTGAAAATCAGCTCCTGGTCAATACCTCAGAAAACCCAATGTCGCCGCTCTCCAAGAGTAGCTGCTGCGCATTCTTAGTTACATGGAAAGCCAGGGGACTCCTTTCGTCGTATGATGTCAGCATGATCACTGTCACGAAAAGTCCAAACATTAAGACTTCTAGGACCTGTTTCCGCCTCTTACTGCGTTCTAAACTCTGAGTCCGTTGTTTGGCCAGGTTAGCTTCATCTGGTGGTGAACTGGAGTGGGCCATTTCTGGAGTCTGTAATGGTACATGTATGTGTGTCCAAAATGACTACAGTATCAGTCAAATGATTTCTATTACATTATTAGTATCATGCAGAGGTCAGTAGTTAGTAAACCTGCCTTTGGACTAAGAGATTGGGTCGCTCACCCGACAGGCCAGTTACCATTGGAATATGTGATAAACATCTAAGAACTCAGCTGTCAAAAATCATAATGAGTGTCCAACTATTGCAAACCCAAGTTGATAGGGTAGTCCAACCTCCAAATTGTTCATTTAGTGAAATAATTTGACCAGTTGAAATAAGTACGAGAGATAGAAGCACTGAGAGCATGGCCTTTGATCCCCCTTGCACGCCACCAAAAAACAGCAAGATGAGATCATCTTTAGAGCTCAACAGCCAGAACAAGAGTAAAAGCCATTTTTGTCAACAAAATAGAAAGAGAAATATCTCTCCAGCTGACAAAATACCAACATGTATCCACACATACCAAGAAAAGGTTGTTTTAGTTGGTTTGGATGCACTCATGATCACCAAAGGACTTAAAATGGGCCTTCGGCGCCTACGGGAATAGTGACCTTTGCCCGTCACGCTACTGTACTGGAGTAGTTTTGCTGAGAGCTAGTAGAATATCCCCTGTACAATACTGCACCTGTCTTAATTAACCACTGTTGGTTGAGCTCATTTGAACTAAACTGGTTAGAAAGTATTGTCACTCTCTTTCCGACATGAACACTTGTACCTTATACATGTAGAATGCCAGACCAGGATAAACAGTTTAAAACAAAAGTTTACCTTTTCATTACGCTGGTCATGCACGTTAGATTCCTCTGTCCAGAAATAACGGGTCCATCCGGTAGCCGTACGCCACAGTCTTGTATCATTTCTCACCACCTGGACAAAAGGCAAACCAGATGTTACGAAAAACTGATACTTTTTGATATATGTTATTGTATAGACTTTTCATGTTCTGGACAGTGTCAATCTCTATCTAACGTTACCACTGTGTAAGTTTTGGAACTATTACAGAAATATAACAACAGATGTGAACAGGGCAAACAAGCAACGGTTCTTTTTATGTTCACCGAAGGAAAACATAGTGTTTTTGCAACGTTTCTTCTTCTTCTTCTGTTCCAAACACTGACCACTGACCTGGCAAATGACCCGATTTGTTGAGGTCTGTCACCATTGTAACTGGTGTTGGGTTACATAATGTTGCAATTTTATAGTAGGCGGGATTTATACTCCTGTCTGACCATATACATGAATGCATTTGATTAATTAACAGAGTAGACCATATGCGAAGGTAAACATTATGCACCTTGCTTTGCAAATGTTACTTTTCCAGTTGTGCTCTGTATTTGTGTCTGTGTAACCGGTATAACCGCCCTTCGGTATAACTTCGCAGGCACGCTGCGCGGCGGCTGACTACATTACACCGAATGACTTGATATAACTGACCTTTGAACATCTAACTCTAAGCATTATTTCAAGCTATCTGATGATAATGCCCTACTGTACTTGGCATCAGCGAGTTCCACTTTCTGTCTTAAAAGTTCTAGCCCTTGTCCTGCTGGCATTCCTGGCACAATATTTTCCAATAATTTCATGTCTTAAATTAGATCATAGACCCCCAATTTGTTTTGTCCTGCAGTGGCATATAGTTACTTCCGCATTCGTTGCGTTTCGCTGCTGTGTGATGCGTTGCACGAGAAATATACGAAAGTCCAAAGGTACAACTTCAACAAGGCTTCATCGGGTCAGTTTTCACGGTTCAAAACCTATTTTCATCCTTCAAAACTCAAATTTTCACCCTTCAAAACCGAATTTTCACCCTTCAAAACTCAATTTTTCATCATTCAAAACTTAATTTTTCACTCTTCAAAACTTAGTTTTCACCGTTCAAAACTCAATTTTCACCCTTCAAAACTTAATTTTTCATCGTTCAAAATTCAAAAATTCAAGATACCTGTTGTGTGTTTTCCTCTAGATATTCTTCATCCTGATGCAGGGGAGCCGGGACAGGGTCTTCATCTTCTACTGGTTTCTGCCACAAGGATAAAAAAAAGGAAAGTCTAATCCAATTCAAAATTCCAAATTCTGCATGTAAAAAGCAAACAGGCCTGCAGGGGTCTTCTTTCCTATAAATATCTTCGGACTCGAAGAAGAAGCCAACAACAACAACATCCATACAATATGTGACATTACCAATAAAATAGGTAAGTCAATACAAATATATCATACATTCACACTTGAGTCTAAATTGTATGAAAAGTTTTGCAATTATTAGTAGAAAATGCAACTGGCAATATTACTAGGGTAACCATTGCTACACCCGACTCAAGAACATTCAAAGGAGAGAGGTGGACACTCTAAACTGGGTCTATAATGTATTTGGGACAATGGTAAGAATGATCTAAAGAACCAAAAACTGGCCACAGTTAAGTGCAAGTCAGCTTTAGGCTGAAATGGTCAATAGGACAGGTTTGACTTGACTGTTCAATGTAAGTAGCATACCAATGTCCATGTGGTCCTTTTGCAGTAGTGGTCACTAGTAACGGTTAAAGTATATATCAATGGCCGGGTAGTCCTCAATATATAGACTAAGGTGTTCAGTAGTATATATAGGTTTGACTGTAGTACCTTTGCTAGCAAAGCAAACAGCACAGCCACCAGCATCAGTTTGAAGGGTTGTATGAGAAACAGGTCGGTGAGGAATGATGTCAGGAACGTGAAGAGCCACGCCTCCGCCTTCGCACGGCCGAAACTCAGGCTGTACAGGACGGTGAAGAACGCTGCCACAAAACTCGCCGTCCAGACTAGCAGCCAGCCTGTACGGAAGGAGGAAAACTTATTGCCAAACCTTAGTATTGCATACATAAGATAATATAAAATTAATGTGAATAAAACGTAACATCTCAGGCACTGTGGTACCAGTACAGAGGTTTAGGTACAGGTAATAGTTTGTACTTTTGGAATGCAATGGAACAATTTGAAAGTAATCTGCAGTCTTCAACTATGAGAGAAAAAAAGAATGCAACGAAATTTTTATTATTATTATTTTTTTTATATTCAGGGAATCTTATACATGTTGGTGTGCTGTGCTGAATTGCAGTTATACAGGCTATGCTGATACAGGTACAGGATCTGATACATATTTCTGCGAGGATCTCAAATTAAAAATGGTGCTGTTTTCATTGTCCAGTCAATGTTTCGTCCTTTTACAGTGCTATTTTGACATTGAATTTTATTTTGAGATGGAAATAACACATTTTGATAACAGAATAGGTCGACAAGATAAAACATACCTATGTACACAGGCCACGAAGAAAGTAAAGAGTTTTGTGTTGGTTCAACATCCTCTGGAATTGTCATTGCTGGCATCGATTTTCGTCATTGAGTCATCAAAAGACAGCTGTATCGGTTGTTTGCAGACTTTCTCAGAATAATCACGACATTGGCTTTTCTGCACCGTATCATTCTCTTTGCGGTGCCACTGCGGCAGAGGTTCATTCTGCTCCTTTGTTGCTTCTTTGTCAATCTGTTTCTTGTGAGGCAAACTTTTCGTCAGGCTTTTCAAACACAAATTATTCCTTGATGCTGTCTTTTCATTTTCAACAGACGAAGTGAAACCAGAGTTTCGAAACAAGAAGACGATGATCAAGTTGACAGGCATGATGATGGCAGCGCTCTGTAGACCTATCATGATCTGAAACATTTAATAATCAGTGATTACTAGTACTAAGTATGATATTCTATGTTTCATAATTTGTTACTTAGGCCATGTTGATTTGATTATATGGATGACATCCGCGCGCAAATGAATTTTCGGCCGTTTCCAAAAAAAAAAATTCAACCATACTGTAAATCGTGCAAAACAGTTGTTAAATGAGCAAAAATATACCAGAAGTTGCAAGGAAAACATTTAGAAACGATACCAATGTCGTAGAATACCAAAATCAAAGGAAAAAAGACAAAAATGTAAAGAAATGAATTCGAAGAGTAGATTATTCGCCATAACATATTCTGTGTCATTTGTTCAACCTTCATGACCACATAGATTTCATAGTGAAAGCAATTTTTTTTGCAAAACTTTTTTTATTCGCACGCGCGCATCAGTTTTGTTCCCAGAGGATGTCATCCATATAATCAAATCAACATGGCCTTATTACACGAGTACAAGCATATATCTGGAAGGTGTATATGTGAACACTTGTTATAGTTTCTTCTTCATGTCGCTAACGACACAAATGGCCACTGTCCACTAAGCTATAGGCCAGGACAACTTAAAACTAAACAGGCAAGTCATTTTTGGGACAATAGAAAAAAATCAACATCAGAATGTCAGCTCTTTTTTTTCATTTATCAGGCACATGTCCCGGCTTTTGGCTCCGAAAAAGCCCCCCCCCCCGTGTACACTATATGACATCCAGTAGATTTCTAGCGGGGACCAATCATAGGGCTGCTGACGCGTCACCGACTAGCGGCTATTAGCACCTTGTTTCATGTAAATGCCATGAACTCAACCAGAGCGCGTATATTGTTTCTTGTTTACATCAGTACTAAGTACTAGTACTTCCACAATCAGTTCGTAAAGTCATACCCTAGTAAAATCTACTTTGATGAACGAATCAAAACGGGACTGTAGACATTAAGTTTTACACATTCAAATGTGGCTGCACTAGCGCTAATGGAGCGACCACTACGTACGGGAAGGAACGGATCTTAGCGAAGCCGAGATTTGTGAACCAAACCCAACCCATCGAAGACGGGCCGCCTAACATAAAAATGGAGGGAAATGACAGACAACAAGCCAACAAAGACAACATCACCAGACCAACAAACTTGGAAAACACCACTTCAAGCGCTAACGTTGTAAGAACTGTGGAACCTCAAACTAGTATGTTTGCGTCAGCGGAAAGGCTGTCGAAGTAACCACTACATGAAAAACTGCGGCGAAAAAGTAACATGGGTTCGTCCCAAATCTAGACGCAAGTGAGCCACAAAAGTAATAGAACCTACACAATCCAAATCTAAAGGGGAAAATCCAATTTATTCCCCTTTTTTCGTCTTGAATTTTGAAATCTTAAGACAACAAAATTTTGAAGGTGAAGCTTTTCAAACTGTAATAACAAAAATTAAAGACATTACGAAGTTCAGAAAGACCATCATAGTGGCTTAGATTTCTGGGGTTAGCGAGGGAACTTCCCTCGTGTGGCCAGGTACAAGTTATATTTTCTGTTTTATCCAGCCACCATAGGAGGGAAATTCCCTCCTTTAACCGGGCACAACGGAGAGTTTCTGTTTTAGCCTACCAAGAGGGAACTTCCCTCGGCCAGGCCGAGACGAACGGTGTTCATGCACGAAGTCCGTCACTAGCGGCGTCGCTTGCCAAGTCACACACGAGGGAAGTTCCCTCGCATGGTGTTCATCCACGAAGTCCGGAGTCCGTCACTAGCGGTGTCTCTTGCCAAGTCACACACGAGGGAAGTTCCCTCGCATGGTGTTCATGCACAAAGTCCGTCACTAGCGGCGTCCCTTGCCAAGTCACACACGAGGGAAGTTCCCTCGCATTGTCTTAATGCACGAAGTCCGTCACTAAAGGTGTGCCTTGCCAAGTCGCACACGAGGGAAGTTCCCTCTCGACACGAACGGTGCTTATTGCGTGATGTCCGACTGAGGGAAGTTCCCGCTACCAGGCCGACACGAACGGTGTTCTTGCGTTAAATCCGGCATCAGCGGTGTTCCTTGCCAAGTCACACACGAGGGAAGTTCCCTCGACGCCAACTAGGCCGACACCAGCGGTGTTCCAGCGCGAAGTCTGTGCAGGCCGACTAAGGCCGACACGCGCGTACTGTCAAGTCCGCCTAGAGGGAACTTCCCTCGCCGAGTCCGCCAGGAAGGGAACTTTGTCGCGATGTCTGCCA